TCTAGTATCCCTATTATATGGATGTTATTACATTTCAGGTTATCCTACAATTCCCTCAATGTCTGTACCCTTTTTTTTTTTTTGAGTCTTTATTCATTCTCTTGCTCTTTCCAGGATGCTTTTTCTACCTTGTTCTCCAGCCTGCTGATTCAGTCCTCAGCTTCATCAAGCCTGCTTTTGATTCCTTCTAGTGTGTTGTTCAATTCGGAAATTGTATTCTTCATTTTTTCTTGTCTCTTATTGATAGTTTCTATGTCCTTTTCTATGCTGATTTAGTTTGCAGCAAGTTCCTCCTAGTTTCCCTGTAGTTTTTGGTAATTCTGTCTGAGCTGACTGAGCTCATTGAGCTTCCTTAGAACCATTGTTTGGAACTCAATATGTGATAGTTTACTTGCCTCTATTTCATGTAGTTCTCTTTCTGAGGATTCCTGCTTTCCCTTCTAGTGGGGAGTGTTTCTTTGTCTTCTCATTATTTGAGAGGCTCTTTTCTTTTGCTTCTGATTCTTAAATTGTTCTTCCTTTATTTCCCGAGTTTGTGGAGTGAACTTCTATGTATGAAGTCCACTGTTTTTGCTTTCTGGATCTGCCTCTGATGATGTCAGCTGTCGACCCTGTCTGACCTTAGGCAGTCTGTTCGAGACTTCCAGTAATCTACTATTTGTGGATTTCTCCTTCAGCTGTTAATCTATTCACTTTGCACTCAGTAGGGCACCTTAGACAGCTCAGGGATGGGCGGAGTCTCTTCTACGGGTGGGGTTATTGGGTCTTCTCTAACTTCAGCTGTGTATAAGGGAGGAGTCAGCACTGGGATCCCGCCAGCTACTCTTTCCATTCTCTCCCCAAAACCTCCGTCTGCAGTCTCTCCTCAAATATCTCTAGACTTCTGTGCACCCCCTTTAGCAAGGGATCTACTACCTGTGGCTGCCCCTCTGTACTCAGCAGGCAGCTTAGACAGTGCGTAGTGGGGTGGAATCCCATCTGGGTGTGAGACTATTGGGTCCTTTGATGCTGGTGCCACTCAAGGGGCGTGGTCTCTACTAGACCAAGGTGACTGCTGCCACATGGGAGACGAGTCATCACCGAAGTCCCACCGGCTAGTCTCTCAGTTTTCTCCCCAAAGCCTCCTTCCCCAGTCTCTCCTCAGGTGTCTCTAGCCCGCTCTGCCCCCAGCTTTGCCAGAGACCACGGTAAATGGCTGCAAATAATAATGTTTACATTGGCCCTTTAAACAGTTCTTTTCATCTCCAGCCACCTGTCTCTGACAGAGAGCAACCCTGCCGCTTTTCACAACTGGAGGTTTTCTGCATACTTTTTGGACTCTGGTGCTGTGGGCTAGGGATCCCCTCTTTTGGTTTAGACCCCACTCTTCTCAGGAGGATCCAACTGACAGTTTCAGTATCCCTCTGGTGCTGCCACCCGTGGGCGCCCTGCCTGCCTTCTCAAGTCTCTGCTTCACTCCTCTCCAGTCAGGTTGCTCCAAAGTCGATTCTTCTGTCTCCAAAGTTACAATGCTCCTCTCTCGCTATTGTTCAGTTGTTTGTGCCAGGTGACTGCTCCACAATTTAGTTGTAATTCCAGGTTGGTCCTTGGAGGAGGTCAGTGTGACTTCCACTCAGTCCTCTGCCATCTTGATTCTCCTCCACAACTTCTTTATCCACTCATCCATGAATGAACACTTAGGTTGTGTCCTTATCTTGGCTATTGTGAATAATGTTGCTGTGTACATGGGAGTCCAGATATTTATTTCAAGTTAGTGTTTTCATTTCCTTTGTATATATTCTCAGAAGTGGAATTTAAGCAATTCATTTTTTATAAATCAAAAGATTCTCTTTGTAGGTTTGTGATAGGGAGGTCAACAGGTGTAATACAAAAGAAAGACAAGGTTTTATTTCCTTTTTGCTGTATACTAGCCTCACCCTTGATTGCAAGTCATTTATATCCTTTTTGGTGCTCAATTTCTAGAAATAGTAAGGGACTGACATGTTTCTTATGATCAAGATAAGAAAACAAGGTTCAAGTGTTTTGAAAGACAGTCATGTGCTATAGGGAAATAAAGTTGCCATATCAGGTTAAATGAGCCCTAGAATGACATACAAGGTGGGCTACAGCCTAGTATGAGAACCAGGAGTGCAAGCAAACAAAGAGAATTGGAAGTGTTGATCTGAAAGGGAGTTGAGCCCATTATCAGAGAAATGGTGAGAGAAGCTTTCCAAGAAAGCCAGCTGGTTTAAATTTGACTGGCATCTTGAAAAAAGGAGCCAAAATGAAATGGATTAGGCAAAAATAGTTCTATTGCCTGGGCACTGAGGCTGAGAGTGGGAGAGATGTCATTTGTGTTGCCTTTGGTGAATATAAGAAGCCTGTCCCTATGTGATATAAAGTGGGTTTGCATGAATTTGTTTTCAGTGTTGTAGAGGAAAAAAAGGTGGAATCAGGGAAGTTGGGATAGTTGGAAGAGCAAACAAACTGAGATCTCTATATTATATATACATACAGCATGTACATTTTAAAGATTCTTTCACTACAGTTGGGTGGTGGGTGAATGATTACCCCCTGTTTCCTAGATGAAAAGACCAAAAAGCAACATAGCTAGGAAGTAAAAGAATATCATGAGCAACTGAAAGTTAGATTTTTCTGTTCCTAGGCTCCTTCCTCTCAATAGCTCCACTTCAGTAAGGAAGAGAAGATGACCTCACTTGCTCTTGACTGTGCTTAGTTTGAAAAGCACTGAGGGGGGTTAGAGATAGTTGGAGATAAAGATAAAAGGTTCTTGCTCAAAGAAGGAGACAGATGAGGAACAAAATGACAAAAATAGACATTCTGTAGAATGATCCAAATGTCCATAAGGCCCTCAAGCAAATAGGAACATGAACATGTGACAACAAAAATGTACAGCAAGAACTCTATTGTGCCATATAATACGGTCTATAAAAATTTAAGAATTAGTAATAAAATTTGAGACAAATTTCAGAAACCTTATTTTTCTTACATTTTATTTATTATTGTTCGATTACAATTGTCTCCATTTCCCCCCATTACTCTGCCTTGCCCTACCCCCCACATTCCACATTCAATCCTCTGCCCCCTTGTCTTTATTCATAGGTCCTATATACAAGTTCCTTGACTTGACCTTTCCCCTTATTTCTATTTTAAGCAAAGAAAATGAAACACGTTATTCTTCAATAAAAAAGCTCACTTATTAATGGTGTTTTTTGAAAAAACAAGAATTGCATATAATCAATGGTCCCTTAAAAAAGAAAAAGACATTCACCTACATTCTCTTGCAAGAACAACAGAACTTTTGTTAATTTCCCAAAGGGTGCTAAGTTTTACAAGCTTATTAAGGGAACCTGCTTCTTTTCCTTCCATGTTTAAGTGACATTCTGTTGTTTCTCTAAGTGTCTTCCCCAGCAGACTGGAGTTGCCAGTCCCTGTCGTGTGTTCACTCACTCCCCTCACTTAGTCACCGTGTGAGCCTCCTAGGTAACTGAGCTCAGCTACTCTTAAGTAGAGATTTCAACTGTGACAAATTAGGCAGTGATTTTGAAATGGGTCTGGCATTCTTGTGAAAATTAATAAAAGACCACTGATATCATTTGGAAGAACAATACTACTGTAGAGACCAGGGTGAGATGTTTCTTTATGGAAGGTAACCAACATATCAGTAAGGATTTGGTGTATTTGGTGTATGACATTTCTCTCCCCAATGGAAGAAGCAAGTGACTGGGTTCCCAGGGTACATCATATTTGTGGATTTCACAACAATCACCTAACCCACACCCAGACACTTAGACACAGGAGAGAGATGACTAAGGGGTTCCTGGGCTCTTATCTTACAAAAGTAGCTAGTATATCCCTAATTAAGATAGTCTCATCTCTGATCAGAGTGATAGGACTTATTTTTAACAATGATATTTTAGAGCTGAAAAGATACACAAATATCCACAAAAGGTAGAATCACATGGCTATTCAATCTGACAGTAAACGGCTTTCTGCTCTTAATTTTTCCTTTGGCTATGTTTTCACAGGGTTTGCTTCAAACACTGGGCTGCTAGGAAGGAACTTACCAGGAAGAATTTCAGGAGGAGTTGGAATGACTTTGGTAAGTGAGGAAAGGGGTGCAGCATTTTAACTGGCACACAGATTGTTTTCTTTCCCCAATGGAAAGCCTGCATGGTTTTCTCATGGCCACATTTGTCAACATTTATCATAATAATAAGCATTTAACACTCGGCAGCTTATAAGGGAATTAGGACAGGTATTATTGTCCTATTTTACAGACAAGGAAGGGATATCCAGAAAGATTAAGTCATCTGTCCAAATCACATAAATGACAAATGGGAGAGGCAGGACTGGACCTCTCTCCCAGTATTCTTGCTTTTCATGTACCTCATTGTCTTACAATCCCAAAAGCCAGAGATGATTAATTTTTCTAGCTTGGCTTTAGTATTTCCCTTTGGTTAATCATTCATTTTGGGAGAGGTTACTACCACCTTTTGTAAATGTGTGCTGTCTCCATGCTATTCTCATGCACAAATTCACTCCTTTAGTATCATTTCCTACAACTTGACATCGTTCTTATCTCTCCTCTTCTCCTCAAATCCATGCTTCCATGCCTCAGGCCCTCATTATAAGCTACAATTTCCATAACCATTTGCCATCAACAATGTAGTGGAGGCAACAATGAAGTTGACTTGGAATCCCAGAAAGCAGAAAGGCAAAAATTTAGGGTAAGTTTCCTTTAAAAGGTGGTAAGTCCATCTAGACCCCAAATGAAAGACCCATAAAGATACAATAACAGGACAGAAGATTGGTGAGATTAGGAGACTGACTACCTAATTAAAGGATGGGGAGATGACAGATAAGAAATGAAACAGGATGTATAAGCAGAAGGGTCTTGAAGTTATACTCCCAGAAAAAGAACAGTACTCACTTTAAACAGTTTCAGCAGATAGATTGCTTCATTATTAAAAGACACAGAAATAGAAGTTCAAACTCACCAGCAAGATTTCCTCAAAGCTTGGATCACTGGGAAGGCTTACCTAAAACAAAATAGACAGAAAAAAATTAAGCATAATCTAGTTACTTTCAGAAAAGCTTATTGCATAATATTTTTACTCTGTAGGAAAAAATGTAAAGAAAGTAAATACAGCTGACAATGTGGCATTTCCCTATTAAATACAAAGCAGTAAGAATCTGGAAATGGCCAATTTTACTCTACTTTAGTGAAGCGGTAAGACTACAGTGCGAAGTGCAGAAAGAGAACGACTCATTCTCTCATTGATTTGCTGTGGATGTTGAGCCATCCTCTCCCATTCCATAGGCTTCACTTTGCTCAACTATCCAAAGAAGGAGTTTAGTTTCCTAATCATTAAGACCTCTTTGGCTTTCTTACATAGTTTGGTATGTTACTCATAATCACATATTTTTAAAAAATGAAACACTTCCATAATTAAATTAAGTTATCTGATCTTATGAGCCCAACCAGATGCCTACAATTGTTATCCAGAGCACCAAGTGGAAAACTCTTGTGTAAATTGTGTGCTTGCCTTGGCTTTAGAGAGACTCTCACAAAGATACGAAATGAATCTTATGAGCCATCTTTTCCAGTGTGACACCTTCTTAATCAATCAAAATTCAATCAATTACCAAAATTTACTGAGGACTTACTCCATATCTGGCCAGTGGTCCTTTCCACCAGGGGTTCCATAATGAATACAAGAAGCCAAAGAGACACCAGCTATAAAACAGTGCATGACAGGGCCTTGAGAATGGGAAAACCACCTGGAAAAATGTCTTCTGGGCCTGATGTCACTTGCGCAGTTCATGTGCATCCTCTAAATATTCTTAACACTCTCCTTCACACCTTCCCCCTTTCAGGATTTCAGTCTGAACACTTCCACCTTCCTCCAGCTCTGATAAGAAGATTTGGTCTTTTGGTTAATTTCCTTGGGACGTGATTTGCCAGTCTTATACAGAGTGCACTCCTACAGAGCCCTCATGTTCCAGGCCTCTCACAGGGCAATTAAGTCATAACCCCTTAGTTACTCTGATATATTGGAGTATGAACATAATTATATTTCAGGAATTGGGGCCTAGAATATGGCTCCAGTTTTCCTCAATGTTAAAAAAAATGTTAAAATCATCAGCAAATCTTAAATTAGCATTAAAGTTGCTATTGCATATGCATAAATTTCGGCTAATATTTACTGAATGCCTTCTCCATGTAAAATTATCTGCTCCAAGAAGCATAAAATCCCTAGTGCAGGAGGCAGGCTAAGTGAGAGTCACCAACAATGAGGGGCCATCTAGCCTGGGTTATCCTGGCATAACTAATTGACAGTGTCCTCTTTCTACCTTAAAAAAAAGTGTCCCAGTTTGGACAATAAATTATACAATTACCCTTCCAAGAACAATCATATTCTAATACTGGAAAGGAAAAGTGGAAGGAAAGGCTAAAAAAGTTGGTGGGGCACACTTTGTAAAGAACCTTAAATACAGGTTTCTGATAGGAAATCATAGATGTTTGGCCTAGCACAGTTCCTTTGTTCATTCATCCATTCATTCAACAAATATTGTTTGAAGGCCAGGGACTGTACTCCCAGACTTGCAATAGACACAGATACAAAGAGAAGCAGAAGGAATCAGTTTCCTTCTTTATGGAGTTTGGAGACTCAAAAGGAAGGCATATGAAGAATCACATAGTTAATGTACCACTGTTAACTGTGGTAAGTGCTAAAAAGGAGATCATCCCATGGACACTGGTTCTTCCAAATGAAAGGTTCCATGCCCAAATAAGTGAGGGAAATGCTGCATTCTATCCTCTTGGAGATACATGATGCAAATTAGAAGCTCTGAGACACCTGTCTCATTGGTTTAATGCAGCACATTCCCAACTTTCTTGACTGAATTCTTGGGACTTTAGTTTTGATACCCCCCACTAACAATTATTACCATTGCACAGAATGAGTATTTGCCAAATGTATGCTGAGAGATGCTGGTCTATTATGAGATTCCAGAGTCCAATTGCTTATTCTTAATAGAAAATAAAATTTCATTCCGTTGTTCAGTGCTCCAGGAACTGTATTTTCTAAAAACAATTCCTAAACTTCTAACAAATGCCTCCCCAAAACATAAATCTCAAAATGTTTATAGCAAAGTCTTCAACCTTTAATATCATTGATGCATTGTATCAGTATAGGATGCCTGGACTAAAAATGTATGGCCCACTCTCATGAAGAGGTTTTTGTTATTCTTTTTCCACACAAACACATAAAGGTTAATTTTCAAATTAAGGAGGAAAAATATCATCAATATGCAGACAAAGCAAGAACACTTCCTTATGAGTCTAAAGAATTGGGTGAAAATCCTGGATGTACCACCTAGGAGCAGAACTTAGTAACTTTACCTCTCAAGTCCCACTTTACCCAAATGTAAAATAAAATAAAATAAAGATAATAATAATACCTACTCTTTTCAAACGTCATAGGATTTCACTGAGCAGCAAACGAAATAAGTAATGTGAATGTGCTTTGTGACCCACAAAGCCCCACACAATCAGTCAAGTTATTATTGCTTGACCTGTCATTCTTCTTCCTGTTTTATTTTAATGTAAGTCCAGTGTTCTCATCTTTTCAAGGTAAGATCTGACTCACTCTTGCCAACTGAAAATATCATCTGTACATGTGGTATTATAAATATCCATTTCTTTATGGGAGGAATCTTATCAAAATAGAAAAAGTTGTGGACTCTTGGGCTTTGCAGCAAATCTAATAATAAGCCCTTGGGGTTGCTAGCACTCAGAATTGGGAAGAGGTTTATAGATAAGGGCAGACAAATAAATATTCATCCACACCGAGTGTTCAGATTTTTTTTAAAAGAAATACTAGAGCCATAAGTGCCCATCAATACATGAGTGGGTCAAAAAACTATGGTACATTCAATGGAATACTATGAAGCAGAAAGAAAGAAGGAGCTACTACCCTTCATGACAGCATGGATGGAACTGGAGAGCATTATGCTAAGCAAAATAAGCCAGGGTATGAAAGACAAATACCATGTGATCTCACCTATAAGTAGAACCTAATCAACAAAACAAACAAGCAAGAAAAATATAACCAGCAACATTGAAAGAAAAAACAAATTGACATTAATGAGAGGGAAGGAGTGAGGGGGGTAACTAGGAAAAGAGGGGGAAGGGTCAAATCAAGGATCATGTATAAAGGACCCATGGACAAAGCCAAAGTGGGGAGGGATTGAAGGTGGGAGGTGGGGGTGGGTGGGGCGAGAGAAAGTGGTGGCAGGAAAATGGAGACAAGTGTATTTGAATAATTAAAAATAAATACTGGAGTCCAGTGTTCACATGGAGCCACTAGTTCCACAAACTCATCTAGTCCTGCCACACAGCTGTTTTTACTGCAAGATAAGTACATTTGAACCACAAGTGTTTTTCCCTCTGCAAGTGCTTTTGAAGTAACCAGCAAATATTTCCTCGGTGCCTAGAATGGTGTGCAGGGTGGGGGTCTGCTAACACAAATAACTACATGACTTCACCTCTTTTTTCTCAGAATTACGTGTCTAGATGAGATGGTAAAATAAAATCTTAGAGACACACTGGGATATACATTGTAAGGTAATCTTGACAAAGGTAATAGGACCGCATTCATTCATGCCTCTGTTTATTCATCAATTCTCCCATTTATTTTTTGTAAATATTTATTTATTTATTTATACATCATGTTTATTCTATTACAATTGTCTCAATTTTTACCTCTTTATCCCCCTCTACCCATCCCACCCCCACCCCCCACTCCCACAGTCAATTCCCACTCTGTTTTCCATGTCCATGGGTCATTCCTACATGTTCTTTGTCTAGTCTCTTCCCCTTCTTTCCACCATTGTCCTCTTTCCCCATTCCCTCTGGTCACTTTCCATCTGCTCCATGTTTCCATGCGTGTGCTTTATTTTGTTCGTTAGTTTATTTTGTTGAATAGAGTCCACTTATAGGCGAGATCATATGGTATTTGTCTTTCATCAACTGGCTTATTTCACTTAGCTTAATATCCCCCACTTCCATCCATGTTATTGCAAAAGGTAGGAGTTCCATCTCTCTCTCTCTCTTTCTTTATTAAATGGAGATTGATTTTATTTATTTTTTAAATGTCAAAGTTAATTATAAAATGTTAAAAAATTAAAACCATTATAAAATCTCAGCTATTAAACCAACATGACATCAACATAGAAATAATCAATCAGATGAATGAAATATAATGAATGTTCTAGAGACAAATGTATATATCTGTCTAGCAATGCACTTTATGATTAAGTTGATATTTCAAATCAATGGATAAAATAAGGCTTATTCAACAAATAAGGTGTATGGACCACTATTACTTGAAATAAAACAAATATAGAGCCCTATTTCACACATTGTACAAGAAATATTCAGGTGAGTCAAAACTCAATATGTAGATTCTAAGGTGTTTTAGAAGAAAATAGAACTAATATTTTTCATTACCTGAAGTAAAATATTCAAACCCAGAAGTTATAAATATTGACAATATTACTATATTAAACTTTTAACTATATAGTAATATACATATAAAAAAGTTAAAGGACAAGGGATAGAATAGAAAAATATTTGCAACACATCTAAAACATGGTTAATAGGCTGTTTTTTTCTTTTTTTAGGGAAAGAAGTTCTACAAACCTTTAATCAATAAATGGATAAAGAATACCAAAAATTCATTTAAAGCTTTTCTTTTAAAATAATAGAAATCAGCAAGAAATATACCATTTATTTATTTAGACAACAAATTCTGATTGAGCACATACTGTGCTCAGGATGGTGCCAAGAGGGAGGATTTAAAGAACTAAAGACAACATAATTTGTGAATTTAAGACCCCACAGAAACTGGGGAGACAAACAGAAACAGACAACACTGATAATTTCATGCAAGAAGTCTGATCTGGGTGTCGGGAGGAGGGTGCCTACTGGATTTATGAACAGAGCCTTGTCCAACAGAAGCTCCCAGTTGCCAAG